GTCCAACAGTACGCAGAAAGAAATGCTACATTTGAACCCGCATTTCTAGAAACGACCAGCTTAAGAGACAAAAGTGGAAATGCCTGAAATTTAATATCTAAAGCTACAGCAAATCAAAAACAGGATACTGCAAGGATATAAGTTCACATATTTCTTTAAGTAAAAATAATATCAAATAATTCAGACAGCTACAGCAAAAAGGTTAGGGTATCTGTTTTAGAAAGAAACAAACATAGATACAAATGAGGGCTGCACTATAAGTTATGAACAGTGTCTTTTTGAGGTAATGAGATGAATTCCTACATTAACTGTGTACTTTTTTGTTATTTACCTGAATGGTTAGTTGGTCATTCATCTGAATTTTAAATAATAAAAAAAACAATATGAACTCGGACACATTTTTTAATAATACTGTATATCCTTGATCTCCAGCTGGAAAACGTTAAATAGAAAAATATTACTCTTTGAAAAGAGCAGAAAACCAGGGGCCCCCCCAGATCATATATTTCATATTATGATTGGCAAACTGATTCCCTCAACAGACATAAAAGGCCAGCTCATTTTTAAGATGATATCCTGCACAAAAAGGAAAGTAAACAACAGACAGACATAACACAGAGGCAACTGTCAACAGTATTCTCCAACTCTTCTGAAATTTGTTTTCTTGGAGTTGATGATGCAAAACTAACATGGTGAGAGAAATTCTAATCCAGAGATTCCAATTAAAATATTTTGTTTGCGCTAAAGCAATCAGTATTATAAATACAAATGGGTCAAAATATTTCAAAATTATGGTACAAATAAATCGCTGTCCAGAAATATAATCATCTCGCCAGTGAACCTGGTCTTTGGATATTTTGAAAAGCTAGATTTACAGAACAGGGAGCCAGTAATTCAGCAAAGACTGCCTTTGTATAAGTACAGTAGGGTAAACAGTGTTCAGGCACAACTGGTAAAGGACTTGTTTAGATCACAGTTCAAAATTTAGAGACCAGAAACTAGTAACATCAGTCTGTAAAAGTAATACAGTACGCCAATTGAATTGAGATGGGATTCTTCAAGTAGAGGTGTGACCTTGTTTTCAGTTAGCTTGAGTCAACTTGAGCGTCCATAGGTTTTAGCGCAACATCAAACCTGCCAACTTGCTGGGAACCTCTGAGTTTGAGCTGTTGCCAAGAGTTCCACATTATGTCTAGAGCACAAGACTGTGGGCATATCATACTGACACCAGTTTGTAGTAGTCATCCTACAGTAGCTACATAGTAATCTGAAGTTTTAATAAAAATAACAAATTGGGAGGAGCAGTTTTAAGTAACAATCTTTAAAGTATGAGAAACTGGTCAGTTCCAACATATACTGAGTGGTGAGTGATCAGAGGATCACAATTGACATTTCTTATGGGAAACAATAGCAGAGGTAACAAGTGAGACATGGGTTTCTTTTGCCATATCTTTTTGCCAAAAGATGCCATATCTTTTGAGGTAAATGATCACAATCTCTCCGATATGTTTAAAATGTATTATTCTGATTTGTAATTCTGCACTTTAAAAGTAAACTACACTAACAAAAACTAATACAGTATATTACTCATTCTGCCTAAGCTATACTTTTTAAGATTAAATATTTCTCAGTTTAAATCACCACATTGATTTCCCAGGAACCATATGGACATTCTGAGGCTAAGACTTAAAACTGTGAATTTTGTGCTAGCCCTTTAAAAGGTTAACACAGGTGCGATGTTCATTTTATTTTTAGAGGGTTGTTTTCAAGCTTTTCCACAGTATGGTCCGCAACCTACAGCACAAATACACCAGTACTAAAACTTAACTTTTACCTAGCTTTCAATCCAAAAACAAAGTTACAAAGCAACTCTCAGCAGGAATACGATTAAGAAAAATAAATCAATAGTAGTCAGAGGAGATTCTGCAAAATCACAGTGCAGTGCACAGTTTAATTTCTTTAAAATGGGGCTTCATATTAAATTATTAACCCTTGACAATTTTTTTCAAAGATTAGCTTTAGATGATCCAGAGCCAGTACTTTTACTTGTATTTCTTTTGCAGATATGGCCTTACACACTCAGGATATTTGCTGGAACTTCTCCAGAATCCAAATCGTGAGAATGGGTCTTAAGAGCTTTGTTTTGTGGAGAGGTGATCACATAATATGCCTGCCAAGACCCTTTAATAAAAGTACAATTCATCATGAACAGATTGATTTACTGGTTTCAGAGATCCCAAAGATTATTTACCTTATTTTTAATATGAGGCAAAAGGAAACAATTAAATTAGTTCTAGGTCCCAAAGAGGACCCTTTTCTGTTTTGTTTTTTTCCCCATCAAATACCAGGCAACATGGGGAGGCAGTGGTTAGCATTTCCTCAGAGCCTTGGGGTCCTGGATTCAACTGTGGACCTGGGCTTGGTGCTGAGGTGTTAGGAATTTGTGTAGTCTCTGTATTCACTTGGGTTTGCTCCAGGTACTGTGGTTTCCTTGCACAGTCTAAACATATACTAAACATTAAGGAATTTAATTGGCTTCTTGGAAAACTGGGCCTGGTGTGAGTGTGAGTGTTTGTGTGTACCGTGCAATGGACCATCCAGTTTGTCCACCCTTGTGCCCAGTGCTTGCCAGGATAGGCAACAACCCCCAACAACTAAATTGGATAAAACAGTTAGAAAATGGATGGATTATCAAGTACCCCACAGATTATTATAGAAGTGTATTAATCCATAAAATTAAATATAGTGCACACAGAAAGGCCAGAAGCTTGAAATGTTACACTTCAAAGCAACTAAGCCATGTTCATTGTACAACTACAGGAAATGTGCACACTGTGCAACGTGCACACTGTGCATGCACACTCCAAAACAATGATGTCATCAAATTGTGAGTCACACAATACCTTATACACAGTGTTAGTGCGTCTTGCGGGAAATGGTGACAACATGACAACACAGGCATCCAGCATGACTGAGAGAGTACCAGCTGCACTAAGCCAGTTTTGCACCATTGCTTTGAAAATCCTAATCACAGTCAGCTGATACAGTGCAAGTGAAGTCAAAACTAAAGCCAGTAATTCCTGGATGGGAAGGACACATCTGTTATATTAGTGGTGCTTCTTCCTAGTTTAGCCACTTGGAAGCTCCTCGAACAATTTTTAAGAACATATCTTTGAAGCAGTACAGTCCATCACTCTCACTCCAGCATGTACCCTTCTGTCAGAGCAGAGGCTATAACACATATTAAATGATGAATTCCCATCCTCCATTAAATACAGTATGGTATATAATACCTGTGGTGGTTTGATAAATCTTACCCTTATTTTAAGAAAACTAAAAATGTTCTTGAAAAGTAACTTAAAATCCTATAAAGGGTTTTTGATTTCAGTATTAACGAACACCACATCAATAACACTTTGTGCTAAATACTTAATAAATATGACATTTCAGGCTTACAAGTTACAAAACTATTTTTTTTTATTACGATTCATGCATTAAAAAAGCGTTTCACTATTCAAGGAATGAAAGTAAAACGGAAAAAGAAACAGGTGATTTAATGTTTTCTCCAAGATGTCACCAATAATTGCCTTTGAGAAGAAATAATACATTTAAAATTGTATGCAGCATCACCTTGGACTACATGGGGACAAACTTACAGAGCGTTTAATAGAATTTGTAATGCTTTACAAATGGGATACAGCATTCTTACCTCAACAGAACTCTTTCATGATTTAGGATATGAAAGAACAGACAAAAATGTCTGCCCTGCTATTCAATTTCTTAAAATTGAAGAATGTTAATCAAAATAAATGCATAGAAAACACAGAACTGATTAAATTAAAATGAATACAAAAGTGCTTTACATGTAAAGAATGTAGAACTCATTTATATCATTTTACCTGCTAGTCTCTTAAAAATGTCCATTTCTACTCATTCATTTTACAACCAAATGATCAGACATAAAAAATATCAAAATCTTTTAAATAAAACTATTAGGATTTTCTTCAACCTAAGGCACTCCATGAAACTATGTTGTGCAATCAGTCTGACCAGTTATTCGAGAACAACACAAGTCAGTAAGTAGTTGAACTGCATTCCATCTAAAAATCTCCCTAACAATACTGCTGTAAATGTGTTTGAGCTAATTTCCTCCTTGAATGATCACTGTAGAAAGAAATGTGATGTACTGTACTTGGCCCAGTTTTCATTCCTACAGTAGCTATAAGAGTACATTTCACCTGATATTTTAAATTGTTGGTACTTTTACCCAACACCCAAGAACAAACCTCTTCTAATTCATTACGGTTGGAGCAGTGGCACTGTGGCTAGGGATCTGCGCCTGTGGCTGGAAGGTTGCCGGTCAATATCCCGCAGCCGGCAGAGGAATCCTATTCTGTTGGCCCCTGAGCAAGACCCTTAACCCCCCAACTGCTCCAGGGGTGCTGTGTAAGTGGCTGACCCTGCGCTCTGACCCCCAGTTTCTCTCCCTGTCTGTTTGCAAGCTTGGGTATGTGAAAAAACAAATTCCTAATGCAAGAAATTGTATATGGCCAATAAAGTGATCTGTAAAATCTTCTCTCTTACAATCATTTTCTTTATTTTTTTGTGTACACTATACTTTAAATGTTTGCCCCATATTTGCAACCTTATTATTTTTTCAGATGTGTTCACACATTTCTCACATCTGTGACTAATAGTAACTTATACCGTAAACACCAATCATTAAAAAAAATCTGGCATTTGTGTTTACCGAGATCACTGTGGCTTTTAAACAGAAGACATTTCAAATATTAAAAACTTTGTGAAATGATTCTATCTAAAAAGGGAAACAAAACATAAATTGAGAACATTCTTGTGGCACACATTTTTCTAGTTACAGTATGTGCAATTTTTCCTTCATTTTAAATTACATTCATCCATTTATTTTCAGTCAGCTTGTCTTGGTGAAGGGTGGAGCAATTTTAAATTTGAGTAGAAAGAATAACAAACTATCATTTTACCTTCTTTTGGAGTCCCAATGCTACTCCCCAACCCAAGAATGGAGAGTGTGTGATTTCTTGGTTCCAGCATCATGGCAAACTCCTCTCCTCGAACCCAATGAGGTATTTTCACTGGTTCCAAATGAACATTCTCCAGACCATCTTGTTTTAAGGCATTGTACATGTACTGGATGGCTGAATCAAGATTTTTGGAGCCACTCAGGCGGCTTCCTACAGTATCTGTGAAATTTGCGAGTCTTTCGTAGGATCGATTTTGGGCTTTCCCATTGACTGCCAGATCAATGATTTTCTGTGCAACATCCGAATACCCAGCTACCTCTTTTGCTATTTTGTCAAATGTACCCATATGGAAGTCTTGGAGACCATTCTTAATTGGACAGCCATTCAATGGAAAGACACCAATAAAACAGATTAAAGCAAGGAGAACAATTACAGCCATTATGATTCCTTCACTTGCTTCGTTTTGAGTCACCTGAAAAGAAACAGAATCATTTTCATGGTTAAAACTTTTTGCTTGTGGCCGTTTCAAAGCAGATTGCAAAAAGATCTAAACCAAATAAAAAGTATTTAAAAGCACGGTGACCGTATAGTTAGAAATATATTTGCCTTTTTGCTTTATAGTGAAGCAGTTTGTACTGTAAGTGTAATTATAATGAGTACAATAAAGTACACATTTTATTTGGGGGTAAATCAATGTACAGTATATTTGATATAACAAAAATACTCTTGGTTCAACCTAGAGATTTCAAATGACTGTAAGTATTGGGACACATTCACTTTAAGTAAATTTTCTAGGCATTAAGTCAAGAGCCCTGGACATTTAATGTGACTGAACTGTAACAGAACATTTGCAACCTGACTTTATATAGTATGTGAGATATATTGGTTGTTAAATTCTGACAATGCAAGACAACTTCTAATTGGTATCACCGGTTATTTATATGTACCACTTTATAAAAGCAAATATTGGGCACATTAGAAAATCTATAGGAATTTACAAACGCAACCTAAGAAAAAAGAAAACATTGACATTATTATTTTTTTTAAAAATCAGGTAATATCAGGGTTCTGCTGCAGCCAAGTAGCCTTTCAAAGACATAGCAATTAGAACTGCACCTACAGCCATCTTTAACCATTTTGGCTAGTCAATATATCAAACTCCTGTAGGTAATGAAATGGCACAGTTATCTGCTTGGGAACATGATCCAAACCCATAATGCAGAGCCCTTTTTCTTTCTGCACCTTGGAAGGACATAGCTGATGCACAATCAAAACTTGGTTCAAATAACATTCATTAAAACCTAGCCTGGAGACTAAATCCCATTACCCAGCTGAGCACCACTCTGGAAAAAAATAAGAATTGCCTAGATTCAAGATCTCTGAAACTATCCGATAAGCACTGTTATTTACTTGGAACATACCGTTTGCCATTGAGAAGGGTGAAAAACAGAAATGGCACACTCACACTTTGATTTTGTGTTTGCTTTGACGTGTTATTTATTAAGTAATAAAATGAACTGTGGATCACTGAGAGTTAAGCACAGAAAATTAAACTGCAGAAAATGTAACACACAGTATCTGCTTTAAAGGCTCTGAAAGGTTATGAGCTTACTCACCATGGACAATTCTCACTCTCACACCTACGGTTCACTCAATTTTTTAATAGCCCACACAGCAGATTGTGAGAAGTGTGAAATCAGTGCCTGGTTAAACTTTTAAGAAACAGTCTGTGCAGCTAGGGACAAGCTATTATTTCAAATCACTTAATTTGCATAACAAAGAAGTGAGCTACGAAATACAGAAATGAATTCATACTGTGAAGCACTCTCATAAAACCCCCAGATTATGTTTACACCTGTTCTTTTTTTTCTTCCAAGAAGAAAATAATACACAGAAGCTATAAAACACTGAAGAAATCATCTGAAATGTTAGAAATGTTAACCACTGTAGCCGTATTGTTTTTTGTAGGTAACTCCAGTTGTGAAAAAAATAGCAGAATGTATATGAAAGCATGCGTTATTATGGAACATAATTCATGAATATGCCCCCTGTGAAATGCTGAGGCTTAAACCTTTGTGAACAGGGTCAATTTTTGTTCTTCAACTAATTACATCACAAATGTAATGTAGAGCAGGGTGTGCCAATCTTTGCATTTTTTATACCTCTTTAAAATACTGTGAGATAAAAGGTATTACAACTACAGTCTTTGCATTTTTAGTACCAGCGATTGCTATTGAGGAATGATCTTTAATGTAATCCAAATTACACCCAATTCACTGTCATTTGTACACATTTTTAACTCTGTAGTTTTAACCGCTATATAGATAAAGCAATATTTTTTAATAAGGGAGATTAAAACATATTTAAAAATCAAATAAAATTTCAGCAGTATTCATCCAGATTTTAGGTAGTTTATTGTAAGTAATGATATATTCAGACACTGAAAATAAATAACTTAAATGGAATCTTATTACAACGTTACTTTTAAGAGGTTCATTTCTGTTTTAAAGATACATGCTGGTTACCATTACTCACAAATGAAAGAGAAAAAACACTTTTTAGAACCTCTGCCACATCACATCATGATGCATGATTAGAGTCTACAACATCGGAACACCCCAAGAGTAGAGACTAGCAGGCAGCTGATTAGGGGAAAATGTATCATGTGCCGAGAAGAGATCTATCAGTATCACCCACAAAAGAAGTTTCAATTTCACAAAGGAAAATAAATTGAAACTATTCTTATTCTAATCTTAGGTGATACTACCACAATAAAGCAATCAAAGGTGCTTCATGGTTCCATACAGAGAGTCAAAATGTTCAGAACTGTACACCAATGAATGATTCAAACATATTCTAAGATTTTGCATGAAAAAAAAATTTAAGCCATTTATCATTTTATAAAATGGAAAGTAAAAAACTGTTCATACGCTAGATAAATCGAATACTATTGTTTACTCTGTATCCATAATCAACTATTTCTGAGACAGCCACATTAGAGATAACTCAGTGAAGGGGATTAGGGTTAAACCTGTTATCTACTACATTCTTCACATTAGATTCTTGAAATTCAGATAAAATGTCTGTAGTAAAATTCACACTTGTGGATGCTTCATTTAAAAGAGATGTACTATAATAGTGTTGTTTTTATTTTATTCAAGCTCCATGAAACGTCTGATACAAAGATTCTTTTTCACTGTTGGTTTCATTTATTATTGATCAAACTTATTATCTTTTACAGATGTATATAAAGGTTGACAAAGCACAGCCAACTGCATCAAAGGACATGTTTTACGCTTCCAGTAACATTTTCAATAAAACCAACAACCTATGAATTAATCTCAAAATGCAATTAATCTCAATTGCACAATGGGACTTTAAATGTTCACAGTTATGAATATGACTATAACCTTGTTCACCGTTCATCTAAAGTATTCTCTTGCATTGCTGTTTTTGTCCGAGCATCACAACTATCACAGAGGGCAAGTTCTGTAGAGGTCTGAGTGGAGAGCTGCAACAATGAATGTGATGCAAAAATTACTGTACTGTGAAACACCTGACTTTTTTCTTTTTGCTTTTCACCATGAACCAGTTGAATATCATTGAATATACTGTTTATAGAGTATCTGGCTTTTATGGCATATTTGTGTGCAAATAACAAGATTTGATCATTCCTGTTGCTTCTGTTTTACTTGATAGCAAGCCTGCCTCACTCTGTAAGAGACCCTTCGTCTCTCACCAACTAAAAATCCACCATCTTATGCCAAGAAAAGAAAAACAAAAACTCAAATCTGAGACTTCACTTCTTTTGTAGTAATGGGTTTAGCACTGAGAAAGTAAGATTATGCAAAGACCCCTAAAATCTGGAAACATTTCACAGATGCAACACACACTTACCCCTGGTTTTGGATTACATTTAAAATGAAATCCTTTTATTTTTAAATCTTTAGCATTAATTTGCCTGTTTGAGAATGAGATTATGAGAGATTAAAGTTCTCAGAACCCTGTGGCATGAAACACGTGTCTGTGTAATTTGCATAAGTAAAGGTGGCAGTCAAACACAAAATACAATCATAACTGTCAGGTTTATTATCAAACTAGGGCAGCACAGTGTCATGGTGTTTAGCATTACTGTCTTGCAGCACTGGAGCTCTGGGTTCAATTCTAGACCTGGAGTGCTATCTGTGTGGAGTGTCTTGAAATTCATGTTGGCTTGCTCCAGGTGCTCTGGTTTCCTCCCATAGCCCAAATACCTACTGGTAGAATAATTGGCTTCTGGGAAAACTGTCCCTAGTGTGAGTGTGTAGTGTACGCGTTTGTGTCTGTGTGCGCCCTGCAATGTCTGACGTCCCATCCGGGGTGTATCCTGCCCTGCGCCTGTTGCTTGCTGGGATAGGCTCCAGCTCCCCGCGACCCTTTGTAATGCAGGTAGAAAATGAATGGATGGATTAGTCAAACTGCAATCATTTCCTGCTCAATGTAAACATTCTCTCAAAATGATGCTGGTAGGACACGATCCTCTCATACTGGCAAACAATGTTTTGAGGAATTCTAGTGTCTTTTTCATTTGGCCATGATAGAATATACAGGATTAATCATGAAATCTGTATGTTGTGGGTCCGTAGCTTAAATCAACTTTATACATTTGGAACTGGAATTGTTAGTTACAGTGACCCCCATTCTACTTAATCTTAAATTAATGTAGCACCAGTGAAACTAGTTCCACAGATGTCAATATCACCCCACAGCCACGGATGACAACTGCTTACCTGACAGTTGTGGCTTATGGTCCCTGTATTGTACCTCTGCCTACAAATGTCACTCCATTTGCAGATCTTTGTGAAACGCTAATGGTGCACACACCAGGTATTGATCAGCAGCACAGAGTGGGATCCCTGACTCAAATAACTCTTGCCACACGATCTGCTGTGAGCTATCTTGGGGAAAAACATATTTACAAATGACAGAATTATTTTATGATCAATTTATTTTGCTGTTTATGACTTGCTACTGATGAAGTTATAATGACGCCATTAGTTATCACTAGCACAGTATTTAGAAACAGAAACCATTCTTGTAACAAGGAACAACGTCCCCCGCGCTTCTCAGTTCGAAAAACGTTTTATAGTATATGTTAAATATTATGTTTTAAATACAATAAGGTGTTTTATTTATTGCCTAATACTTTACTTTGTATAGACTAGGTTACAGACTCCTTAACAGTATCTCTCTTTATAATACGTTTTTTTATTGCATTAGACTATTCAATGCATAGGGGCGTCGCTTCGATCAATATTTTATTTCATATTCTTGTCCTCAGTCCTCCTGCAATCATACATTTTGTTGGACCCTGTTTCAGCATTGATTAAAATGTGACCATTGACATTTCACTTTATCCAACTTTCGATTTTTCAATCGACAAAACATGCCTTAAATGCAATTTGCGAAAGATCCAGATATCAACAATCACAAAGAAAACTTTCATTCGAAACGCACTGTTTTAAAAACAATAACAAATAACAAACCTTATTCTCGAAGTACTTGGTGTAACACCGCAACTTCTGCCCGTCTACAATCAGTACATCGTGCTGTATGGCAGAGCGTGAGGTTCCAACAGCACCAAATTCATACAGTAGTGTTTCGTCCTGTTCTCTGGGAGATAAGATAAGTTGCTACCAGGATATACAGTACATCACAAGTTCAAAAAGAGAACGAAATATATGAAAACCAAACTAAATAAATACAATTTAGTGTGACAAATTAGTGTCCTATATTGATAGGTTCAAATTAATTTAACCCTTTAACTATTAAAAAAGCAGGAAGTCTAATGTAATCGTAAGAAGTTAAATCGTCAAAGGCATGGACAATCCATCGTATTAACGACGTCTTTACAATGCAAATGAAATACGAACCAGAGTGAATATTATGTGGACGTGCATTTAAAACAGAGAGTTGGTTAATTCTCATTATGTTACGTAATGTTTATGCCACTGTCAAAGTCACTATAATCATGGCCAGTCTTTAATGCGTAATGAATCAAAATGGCATCTGAAAGTACAATTAATATCAAGAATCCTTATACTTTATTTAAAAATAAATTATTTACATTGAGTGCTGCAGCGCATTGAAAAGGTATTCCAAAGCTTGAACAGCTTTCACATTCTGTTACTTAAAATCTTGCAGTTATGACACTTCAAAGTAGCAATTAGTATTTTTAATATACATGTATACACACACAATCTTCTCTATGGGTTGAAAATAAAAAACGGAACAAAAAGAAGTCATTAACTATAACATATGAAAGAAAAAGCAGTGACTGCATAAGCATTTAAGCTCTTTAATGTAATAAACCTAAATTAATTTAGATGTATAAAATTATCTTAACAAACCTGCAAATTAGTTGAGAAGCCTCTGTGTGCAATAATAATGCCCCACATGATTTCAGAAAAAAACACATCTCTTTATCAGATTGTGAATGTCAAGAAAATCATGAAGACCAATACACTTTCAGAAGAAGGATGAAACATTTCAAAGACTCTTAATATTTCTTTAAGCATGCTGATGTCTATCATTAAGAAATGTAAATATCCAGAAACCATTTAGATCATGCTGCAAAGTATTTTTCTAAGGCATTAAATCTAATGCAACCCCAGAATAGTGCATCACTCAGTCATCACTTATTTACAGTAGACTATCCCCACTATCAAGCATGGTAGTGGCGGGGTTACTGTATGTTACAGTTTTGCTTCTCATCAGCATAGAGTGGGAAACTTGTCAAGATTTGTGGGAACATAGATGGAGCAAAGTACTAAGTACTTTGAGGAAACTGTCAGGCTCACACATATTCAACCGCAATGTATGTAATACACCATACATACTGTATGTGTTCAAACCTATTTCCATAGACAGGTTTTTATTATGTACCTTCTGCTACATTTGTTTCCACAATTATTAATTGTGTAAATCTAATTGGAATAGTGGAAATCTATTCGTTCCAGTTTACTTTTAGTTCTCACATTGGAATATGCACCAAGGCTCCATGCACACAAAGGATATGAGAAGGTTCTAGTGCCCACTTCTGTGACAACCAATGATCATCCTAATTGTCTGGTCTACAGTAAATTTCTTCATCCACAAAAAATGTGTCCTATGCCCTTTCAGAGCTATTTCTGTACCTGTTTATGCAGAATCAGAATCCCTGCTATATCCCATCTAAGAGATTTGTAGGTGGTTTGTGTACGTGAGTTGTGGTGACACAAATAACCTCTTAGTTGTTTTTCTTCTGCTTAAAAATTATATCCTAAAAAATGACAAAGGGTATGTATTGTCCAAAGTACCTACTTAGACCGAATGGAACAAATAATTGCCATTTCGCTGATTTTCTTAGACTGCATAACAGCAAATAAGAGATTGATATCCACCAAAATTACAGTTATTTTAAATACAAATAAAGCAAAAGAAAAAAAAACACTTTAAAGTAATCAGGGCAAAACCTGGCTTGAACAAAATACATGCTGTAATTCCAAAGTCTAAGATCTTAAACCCACGTAATAACATACTGAATGGATGCCTCTTAGAAATATAGTGTGCCTTCAGAAATTATTAACCCCTTTGAACAATTGTGTGAAATGCAACAATTATATTTCTATATTATAATCAAAGGCTTTAATGCATTAAGATATTGATATTTACTGAAAGCGTACATTGAAAAAGACATTTTTAAGACAAACAAAAGTAAGGGGTCTTATACTTTGTGTTGTCAGATACTATGGCCAGCAGCCATATTGCCCTGCAACTCACAACAAGCTAAGGAGGTATGAGCCTGTCCAGTACCTTGATGGGAGACCTCCTGGGAAAAACTAAGGTTGCAGCTGGAAGAGGTGTTAGTGGGGCCAGCAGAGGGTGCTCCCCCTCTGGTCTGTGTGGATCCTAATGCCCCAGTATAGTGACAGGGACACTATACTGTGAAAAGGTGCCATCCTTTGGATGCAAAATAAAACAGAGGTCCTGACTCTCTGTGGTCATTAAAAATCCCAGGGTTTTTTCTCAAAAAGAGTAGGTGTGTTTCCCTGGTATTTTGGCCAAATTTCCCACTGACCTTTATCAATCATGGCCTCCTAATAATCCCCATCTATGAATTGGCTTCATCACTCTGTTCTCCTCCCCACTGATAGCTGGTGTGAGGTGCGTGTAATATTGTACTATGACTGCTGTTGCATCCTCCAGGTGGGAAAGCAACAGCAGCCACAGCTAATGAATTATTATTATTAATTATATACATCATTACTGTATAACATAACCATGTACAGTGGACCGTTACACAAATTATCCCAGAAGGTGTGATATTTATATTATGGCAGGACTTTGTGTAGTTAAGCAAAAATGAGCACAAATGGACACCACCATACAAATGAGAGGTTCTTTTACCATTGTAGAAGGGCAGCAAATGCTGTACATTATGCTAACTTCCATTCTTCTTTCAGTGATGTGACATTCACTTATTCTGTTAGCACAGGCTGCTTTTCTTTTTAATCTTGGTGACGCTGATGCTAATGCACACTGACTCAGAAAGGCCAGGTCTGTTAACTTGCTGACTGTCTGAAAAGCACCGGCCTAGTATCCCTGCAGTTAGCCCCGTTATGAAATGTGCATTGAGGATGACATTCTCACTCTCATCATTTACACTTTCCACCATGTCAGTCTGTACAACTGTGCTACATTATTCATGCCAGTTCTTGTACATCTTAGGCCTCTTTGTAGCAGAATAAAGAGTTTTGCTGATAGCTCTTAATCAGAAATTTAGTTTTTGTATACTTTTTAATGTTTATCAGTCCCATCCAAGTTATTTTGATAATGAAGCTTGTTTTCATGAAGTGATGATTTCTTTATCAACAAAAAATAATACTCTTCAGTAGACCACATTGAATTTATAGACCAACAGAAAATAAAGTGAAACACAGTACATTCCTGAAATCATCCAAGAATTAAAAGATTCGGAAAACGTTTTGTGTTGTTAATTCGTAGAGTCATATCTTAGTTCACTATACGATACTTACATTTACTTTTTAATTGAGAAATACACTGAGATCCTAGAGAAAAAAGATTGAGAGATCACAGCGCATACTCAATCCCAGCCCCCCTAATACAGCTATATTAGGGGACTTGCTAATAAGATATGTAGATAGTGCAGTATGAACAAATGAGGGATTCTTGATGTGCTGTCTGCCTGGAGTTAGGTTCCAGACCTCCCTGAGTGAGTGGAGAAGCTATTGACCACGGGTAGATGTATTTATCACAGTCCTTGTTGTAACAAACATTATAGGCTGCCAATACTGCAAGGCAAAAATAAGGATTTAGATTAAACCTAAAGGAAAAACATCTATGGTGTTCTCCTAAGAAGTTATACAAGTAACATTAGCATTCCCAGAGAAGCAAGATGACATTTGAAGATTTAACATCTAAAAAAGGTGAACATATTATAATTATATGTAAATCTAATAACATTTACAAATATATGGTTATTTAAATTCATTGAAGGATTCAGTGTGACAGCCAAGTGTCAGACTTTGGAACATTCAAAAAACGCAAGACACAATGTCTACAAAATAACCAGTTAATGTTGGTTTCATGGACATGTTGTCTGTATGAGAGTTCCACAGCAATATAAACAGAAAAGGCATGAATTTCCCAAATAACTAAGTAAATCACATGTCAGGTGGGGCAAATTGATGTGGTTAAATAAATAGTAAATAGTTTGTATAGTTCCACCAGCAGAATGACTACTGCAAAAAAGTGGACTTGCATCCTGTCAAGGATGTATAGTTTGATAGAAGCAAGGTTAATATTGAAAAACAAGGCCATCACTTTTGTGAAGAGGTGAAATGGATGTGTTTTGCTTTGAGGCTGTTTCACATCCCCAGGTCTATGTGTTCTTGTGAGAATTGTGGACAGTTGTATGCCAAAATGTACCACAATACCATCTTTCAGCAGAGGGTTATCAAAAGTATGAGTAAATTAATCAGAATACATGGAGGCCGCATACAGTATATTCAGGAAGTGACTGGGGAAGTGGGATTGTTTTCCAGAATGCTGGTGTTCATAGGCTGGTTTCTGAAAAAAAACTGGGGCACCAGCACAAATCCTTTTCCTAATTATGCAGATGGCAGACTATTTAGAGCTGACTGGAGCCCCTGTTCACAGTGGCATGTATCTTTGTGGTAACTCATCACAGCACAGCTCTGACAAACCTGGTAGACACAAGGAACCCAACTGGCAAAACAGTTTTTGGCAATACACAGAAAACATTTGTTTTTCTTATTTCTTCATTTTATTACAAGCCCTGTATTTTATTACATGCTTCACAGTGAGTAGGAAAGCCTGGAATAAGCTTTGTAATGACAGTTCAAACAACATTTAACACCTGATTAACATGATGTGATCAACCGTGAAAAATACATCAGAAAATACACATGAATCTTGCTATCATAACCCACTTCTGTTTTTTCAAATGAAAAAGGCTGTGGGGAAAACATTTTTGTTTTATTCCAGTGTTTAAGAACCAGGTCAGATTGTCTGTGGTAAAATCTGGAGATAATTTGTAACAATCTAAGACATTTGCTGATAAAACAGCAATGTTCTAAAACAGGTGTTATTAATGCAGCCATGTTATAAGAGACCAGGCTGGACTGTTGGCTCTTCAACAAAAAATGTTTTGCCAGTTTACAGATTTTGGCTTATTGCAGAGTACAACACATTAAGTGAAGGAAGATCAAATATACGATAAAGCAAAGTACAATGTCAACACAACATGGAAGAAATAACCAAGAGCAGTTGTTATCTTGTGAAGCAGGAATTTTAAAAGCTGTGATGCTCAATGTTTGTGATTGTAAATACATGTTTCAAGAAAGTATTGAATTTTCTGTACATAATATATATAAACATATTTGCTGATTATCAGACAAAAACTAGCAACAATGTTAGAAGTATCATATTATCCTGTTTCTTTTTCTGGATAAATTGCACTGTGGCCTAGAATCCAGATAACATCATTTTATGCCTAACTTTACTGTATACAGTAGCTCAACCAAAGTAAATAATAACACAATCACAGTTATGTTTCTGACAGAAAACGACAAAAGTATATTTATTAAAAATGGTAACCTTTCAGAGCCTTCTAATGTACAGTATAGGAGGCTAAAATTTGAACGACTTCCTTTATGTTTTTCACAATGTTTATATTTTTGTTTCATAAACTTAGCAATTCTGAAATGAAAAGTCTTGCACATGTACAGTACAGTAAGTCACTGTGTGCAAGCTTGAAGCTGGACCTGTTTTTCATTGAGTAGTTATTATGAGGCCCACCAATGTTTACTTTGGGAGACATGTTCTTGAAATTTCTGCATGATTTAGCACTGACTAAGAGTGATGGTTGGTTGCTTTATTGAATTAGTTCTGTCTCAAAGAAGGGAACCCAGTTGCTTTTGTTCATTGCTTATACAAGAATGACACTTGAAAGAGCTTATGAATTCAATAAAAAAACATCTGAATCCTCAGACATAGGTCTAGTTTGTTCAACATACAGCAAGTTTCATACAAATTTGCTCACAATCATTGTTTATGTTTCCAGCAGAGGAAGTCTGTGCAATAAAATGTTCTACCAGGCAATGTTTGTTCCAGTACAGATCACACTACCGCAAGTCCTACTTTCTAATACAGTAATGCATCAAGCTGCTTCACAGGAGTACAAACAACTCCTTGTTAAACAAATAACAGCCTTAGTTCATGCTAATATTTGTGTACATAAAGGCAGAAAACAGGTACTCAACTAATGTGAGTGCTGATTTTTGTTTTTCGATATTCCATATTTTAATTTATTTTGAAGGAAAGAATTTTTATTCAGCCTGCTTTCATGGTGATGGCATCCTTCATTCAAGTTTGTGTGTGGTATAAATGTACTGTATATACCGTACACTGTGTCCATATTTTAATTAAAGCATATAAACCAGTACTTGATTACACCATAATTCAATGTCTGTGAATTTCCTTGACATCACAAATAAATTCTACAACACACACAGCTAACCCAGCTGGACTTGGGGCAGCTACAGTATGTTTATCGCAGTCAAACCGTTCACATTCAAGCTTCATGTCCTGGAGAGCTGCAGTGACTGATGGTCTTTATTCCACCTCTGCTCTTAATCACCTAATTAAGATAATAATTAACTTAATTGGACCAATTTAGCATTTGTCTTCAGATGTAAGTGATTTATAGACACCTTGCTCAATTCTGGCTCTAAGAAGCTGAGGTTGTCCACGTACAGTATAGATAAAAGTTAATATTGTGAAATCTCAATGTTAATCTTGGATCTTAGATAGAGGCTTATACAGCATATTTCCCCCCTTTAATAAAGAGAGTATGATAATTTATTGATAACTAGCACCTTTTTGGTTACAACTTTATCCTTGCAGTTATGGTTATGGATATTTTAACAATACTGATATTACTATATTAAATAATAGTATAATAAATATTTTTTAGATTAGGCAGGGGAATGATTCTGGGATCTCTAAATTAAGGAAATGTTCAATCTAGTTCTCTAATATTACATTTTGTGTCTGACAAAGAGGGATTTTTAATTGAAAATATTTTACTTTCTATTACAAATACTGATTTAATGGTGTTACTAAAATCTGGACTTTTTTAACATTTAAAAGAGTTGAACTCCCATTCAAACTGTTTAGGTCTTTTGCTCAACTGTTTTACATTTACAAAGAAACAGGCCAATGACTTATTACTTGCAATAACCTCCCACTGATTTTTCATTTGTCACCACAAGGCAAGTACAACACAACATGAACTAGACGGCATATTTCAAAGGCAGCTTTCCCTCTTTCATTAAAGTACCAATCACAGGTGTGTCACTATAGGTGTTCAGAGTCATTAACATTAATAAGGTTAAAGGACATTTCATTTTAATTGCTATTGTTTCTAGGCACGCTGTTATTTGGACTCAAGTTTCTCACAAGGGAAGCTAATTATAGCTACATTACAAGAACACGTGACCAGACAATGTGACAGACTGCTAAGTGAAAAGTAGTCCCTTAATTAAATATCTAGCTGTGATGTTATTACACTGTCAAAGCCTTAAGATGAGGGTGGCAACACAGTTTGAAAGAGACAATTGCTTTCCAATCTAAGCCTCAATCCCTGTCTCCTTTCACCATAAAATGTATCATTGGACAACAGAATTTTACTTTCCCCAAGTAAGCACTCTGTGGATAACTTTAGTATTTGACATTATTGGTGAAAACCCTCAGACAATAATCGTAAAAGTATAAATATTAGCTGGGGACATGGTGACCTTTTTTGCTTTACAGTCAAGCAATTTATATTTGTGGTCATGTGATTAAAGCAAGTACAATACAATACATATTTTGTGTTGGGGTAATTCAACGTGCGGATTTGATTATATTAGAACAAAAACGTACATTGTGTTCAATTTAATGATCCCCAGCAACTCTAAGTATTGGAATACATCCACTTTAAGTAAGTTTTGGATTGTACAGTATGTCAGTAATTGGTTGCATACCCCTTTGTGGTAATAACTGCATGAAGCCTGCAAGCCGTTGTGTAATCACGGGGCCTGTGCATGGATGGGAGCCTCTGGAACAGACTCATTCGTCTTTATTGATGATGTAACTGATGATGATGAATAAACGTTGTGAAAACATTTTGACTTATATAGAAGATAATGTTTTCATACTTGACTTTCATACATACTTAAGGCAACCAAGGAGTTCAGCCTCAAAACAAAAGTAAAAAAATCTTAGACTGACCATGTCATGATCCACATTTAAATACAGTTTAACATGTATTTTATATGCTTTAGAAATAGTCAGAACACCGCAAGAACTCAAAGTGGATACAGAAAAGGCTTGGCAAATGATCAGAGATAATTGAGCTCAAATGGCTGCTCATGCAGTATCTAAAGCAAAATTAACAGTTAAGACTTTGCTGTCCCACAACACCTGTAAACCAAGAACTTTGTCTGAGAACTTAACCACCCACAAAGTGGCACTGTGCCCACAGAATCACCCCAATATGCATGCTGACCTCATGTTTCCACTTGTCACCACTCATGAACTGAACTCCTTCACAGCAGCTATCCCCTCATCTGCAGAGAGCAACCTACTTTTCCCCAAGAGAAAACCACGATCCCGGATTTTGAAGCTGTGGGTACAATCAACATAATCAGAGTTTCTTTACACAACTTTTGGGCTTACTGTCCAGAAGAGCACAAGGACTGAGTGCATGCTGAGCCTCTGCAATGAGAGGAGACATCTAAAGTGGTTCAGTCACATAGTGAGCTTGTTCCCTGGAAGGCTCCCAAATCCCAAATCAGATGCAGGGCATGCTAGAGTATATCTATTTCTTAGCCAGCCCCGAGAACTTTTGGAAATCTCAAAGGGGGAGATGAAAGTTGTTGTAGTGGAAAAATAGGTCTCGGTCTTCCCTACTAAAGATGCTGCACCCATGACCCTCACTTAGACAACTGAATTGAAAATGGATGGACTTACCATGGTTTAAAGGCTCTTAGCTAGAAGGGCTTTGATGTGGTTCCAAGCTTGAATCAATTATAAATTGAGCTCAAATTTGGGTATATCGCCATTGACCTAATTATTCCAATGTCCTGATACAATCTTGTTTGCTTTAGCAGAGAGGCCATCTAATGACTGCTTCTCAAACTCTTTTTACTGCTTTGCACCTCCTTAAAACTGGTTCAATTTGTCCAGTTCACCAAAAGTGTTTGAATTAATAATATCAAATTATATAAAATTAAATAATTAAAGAAACTTCTATGTCCCTAAAGACCTAGAGTTAGAAACACCTGCCCTAGCAAGGGATAAAAGCCATTATCTTTTTCTACCTAAAAGTATAGATATGACATGGTTTATACAATAAACTCACTGTGAGTATGTTCCTGGGTAAAGTGGTAATGAGTATTCTTGCCTACAAAAGGAATGAAAGAGAAACCTTAAGGGTGGAAAACAAGAAAATAAATGTCAACAGGTGTTCATTTCAATTATAGGCCACAATGTTTATTCAGTAGTGTGTTTGAAATTATAGATACAATACTGTCTGCTTCATAAGACTAAAAAAAAAAGGTACCATTACAGTTGCCTGTGCTTATAAAATACCAGCTTACACCGTAATACAGAAATCTTCCATTCCAGACAGGTACAAGCACAACTCAGAATGGTAGGCACTTCAAAGGCTTAAACATTTTGTGAATATATATTTCTTACATATACTATTAAGCAGTTGGATTCAAAATGGTCTGATCTCTAATCAAAAACCTCAGAATGGGGGGAAAAAGAACCGTGGCCATAGTAATCTGCAGCAACTTCGAGAATACTGTTAAAAAGTCTTTGGGTTTGCTTAGGCTCGTCAGTAGCTTCTATCAGACCCTCCACTGAAAAGATTAGTGTATCATGGACAACTATTTAACTATTCAGTTAAAGGCAGAAACTGCAGGAGACAAAAAAAAAATATTTTTCAATCCACAGTGTGATGAATGTTTTCATGTTCTAGTTTGCCTATCCAATTTCCTAAGCTCAGTTTCAAAGACTCTATATATTCAGGCATTTCTCATGTGTATTACATTTTTACAACAGCAGTGGGATTCCATCACTGGTTTAACTGTAATACATTAGCTTACAAAGAACCGTATGACTGCAGTTCTACACGTAAAGTCACAGATGTAAGTGTTGGCACCCTCCAATGTTATTCACTAACTTACTAAGTGTACTGAGCAGTATATTAAGCTTTTATTTGAAAAAAAATAAATATTTGTCTAGTTCCTGAATTACTCATTCATCCAAACCAGGGGTTTTCTACTCTACATCAAGTTAAATTGATGATAAAGGGTGTGAATACTTATTTCTGCAACGCTAATGAAGTGTACGATGTCATTGAAATAAATGTGAAAGTGCCCATGGTAATTCTGAATTCTACAGCAGCAATTAAATTTTGTGCACTGGTGCAATTTCTCATGTTCATATTTTACTTATTTGCAAGAAACCAAAGCTAGCTCATTAAAAATAAATGTGTGGCTAGCTTTACAATAAAACAAGTCTTATTAGTAAAAGTGAGTTTTTTAAAAGGGTCTTCCAATTTTTTAATGTTCTGGACATTGACAAACAATGGTCAGTGAATCCACACCAGGAGAGACCCCTGTTGTATTAAAAAATTAAAATGTAAAAACATTGTAAATGTGAAGAATTGGAACAAAAAGTATATGAGAAGACAATTTAACTTTTTGATCATGCACTTCTACCTTTAACACCAAATTCTTTGTACAAAGATGCTGCTTTTACAACTGTCTGAAGCTACATTAAGAAAAAAAATCTCCAACTTGTTCTAAGTTTTATATGAACGAAAAAGACAATACATTAAACTTCATAACCTGAAAGATAACAAATTTACATTTACCATTATCTGAATTAATATGAAGACAAAATTGCACCGTGAAAACTATAGAAAGGCAATTTTAACATTTGAAACAGATAAATTAATGAAATACATCTTGTAAGATCAACCTCAGACATGCTATGACAAATTTAAAAAGAAAATAGTAAAGATAAAGGACAAATATTTCCACGTATTATTTTTACAAATACGTTCTGCTGCAATTAAAAACTAGTCAGTGATATGAAATGACATCTGTAAAAGATGTCATTTGTTTCTCACCTCCACAAACTAAAAGTGTTTTTTTACTTCTATCAGCCTTTTCAATGAATACAAGAAATGTTTAAATACATTGGGATTTGCCAGAAAATAGCCTTGGCTGGCTTTCCTTAAAAGAAAAAAAGAGGTCTTCAATACTCTATGCAAAAGCTTTTTTTATTTCTTTAAAAAGTTCTTTGTCTCCATCAGAGATGCTTTTTTTAAGGTTTATGCATAAAACTCCTTTGTTGGTGCCTTCTGGTAAGCAGCACTCGATGGCTTGCGCTCTCCAAGATCATAGCTGCCCTCGTCCTTCTTCCTCATGCGGTACACCAGAAGTAAAATCAGGAAAATTGCAAATAGAAATCCAATGACTCCACCAGCAATTACAGCTGCACAGGGGGAAAAAAAATCAATATTCCGATTAGTGATACTCTGCATCTTCTGTTTACCCTGAGTTTTAACATACACAGAGGTTACCACTACACACAAGCCAGCTCTACATGTCTGCTTAGGACAATCTAATTTCACATAAGCTACTGATAAGGGTTTATTATCTTTGAAGGTGTAATGCATGAAACCGGTGTTAAAAATGTACTTTAAAATGAGAAAATGCAGTTACTACTATCAAAAATAAAAGGCCCCTTTTTCTAAAGGTGTATTTTACTTCACAGTGTTAAGTCCTTAAAGCTTTGTGCATTCAAAATTTAAATGTTAATATGACCTTTAGGAATATCAGATTTCATTCAGCACCTTTTGGGAACCTCATTGACAGTAATTTTCACTATTTTTTTTTCAAAGAAATAAAATTCAACAGAACATAAATGTACATGGTATAATTAACTCGGAATGCTTCTACTGGGTATGTGAATGTAGACAGAAGTATTCACAAGAGGTTTTAGGCAGTATTCATTGCCGCAGAACAAAAATGGAAATAAGCCCCCTGTGGATATTTAAAGTGTCACATGATTACACTTTACCTTGGGAAAAGTGGTAAAGGATGTCAAAGGCTTTATACCGGAAATATGAAAGGCTGTACTGTCTCACAAAAACCAAAAAAAGTAATTCACCACCCACTGCTTTTAACTGCTTAGTCTCTACTGCCATTTTTTAAAGAGCTAAGGGAGTCTCCAACCATAATTACACTATTGTAATGTTAAGTCCTTATTCGTATCAGTCCTTATCCTTATCAGTATTGTAATGTTAATCATCAAAGAAGATTAAACAGATTAACACAGATGAACAGAAAAATGTTTTCATATAATATATTTTGGGAGAACAAATTAATTGCAGTTTTATGTCATTTCATATAAGTCTACTGCCATGTTCTTACAATGTTGTTAGATCAAAGGTTTACAGTATTAATATCCTGAAAGCTACAAAGTTAATGATCCAGGATGATGTCAAGGTGGCTCACTGTAAAGAGTGCAGCAAAGTAGTGATTTTCCACAGACACAATAACAGAAAGGCTTTTTAGGAATTTAAGCAGGAAGAACTTATGTTTATGAGGGATATTCTGGTAATCAAGAAATGTATTTTTATTTTATGGAGCTGGAAATCAGAAACTAAATGAAGATGTTACAGCTAAACTGCAACTGAAATTAAGATCCACTGATGGCCCAAGGGATTTGCCATAGTCCAAGGATGCAAATGTATTCATATACAGACCTGCCAATACTTCTGTTCTCTGGAAGAGGTTTTCGGAGCGTATCTCTGCTGATACATCTGCATTCGACCCTCTGCTGGGTTTCTTTGGAGGTCCACTAGTTGTGCTGGTTAAATCATTTGTGTTCTCTTCTCCTTCAGAGAAAACAGCTGTGGACTGTAAGGAAAGAGATTGCAAATTAGCTGAGCTCTTTGCTCTGATGAAGTTTGAAAAACGATGAGCTTCTTCAATGTCCAACATTGTGAATTCAGTTTTTCAAGCAGTGATTTTTTGGGCTTTTGGCATACAACTTGGAAACTGCTTATGTGACATATAGCATGTAGCAGTGGACAACACTGAGCCCTCATTGAGGTTGCTCCTGAACTATTTCTACAAAACGTCAAAAACACTGAGTAGTGCACTAACACAATTCCATCATCACTGCATATAATTTCTGGGATGTAGCAACTTTAGAAGACTAGCCTTTCATGAAATTATTAAATAAATCTGTGGTAGATCTAATTTTTGATTATCATGTAAATAATTACCAGGCGAAGAATTTATCTAATATAAGTTGTTAAAAGAGGTGGTGATAAACAACGAAAAGGTTTACCTCTGTCCTTGCAGGCTTTTTGGGAATAATTCTGGATGTTGATGTTTCAACTTTTGGTGTAAACTCTTTAGTTGAGTCCCTGGTTGGCTCTGCATTTGGAACAACGTAAAGTGTTTTCACAGTGATGGTCTCCTCTGGTACATCACCTAGTCCCAGGACAAAAATGAAACATTAAAAACAAATGAATTCTCAAGCACCACAATAAAGTAAATCCAAAATAACAAACAGTCATTAGTACTGGAATACACACTTTACCTCTGGCATATTAAGATGAAGGCTATTGTACATGGCAAAATGGTGGGATTGTTGCAACTTTCCCTCAGTTCTGTTCTGTATCCTTTTTAAAGAATGCTTGTGTGATTGACAAAGCCCAGCCACCCCTTGCAGATGTACTGCACCTGCACCATCTTCTTCATTTTGTGTTTGGTGTTGATTTTATTACGTACGGCTCATTGGCAGCTACTGTTATAATTGTTATGTTTTTGTCAACTGAGACAAACTCTCTGCAACTAACTTTTTCCTTTGTTGCATAACAATATAATCATACTTATATTCCACGTTGGATGAATTGTCTCCCTTCTTATATGTAAAGCACCGTATAAACACAAGGGAAAATTCAAGAATACGAGAAATAATCATTACTTTAAGTCTCTATGTATGCCTTATATTACTTTAAAAATTCTACTTTAATGATATACAGTAGCAGTTGGGCAGTGGGAGAGTAGAAGCAACAGGGAGCTCAACTTCAAAAAATAATCCATTCATGGAGGCCAATTTTTGATAAACTCATGTTTAAAAAAGTTGAAATAAAAAATTCTATCTTATCGTCTTCAACCATGTCATTCCTTAACTGATAATTCTTTTTATAATATAATCCCCTTATGCTTTGAGGGGATAAAAGCTACATATCAAATAACTCCAATTAAAAAACTGAACCACAAACAGTGTTTCTGGGATGCTTAATCTCTCAAAGTCTTGGCTCTGTCTGGAAAAGAATGAGAAACTCGCTACAGCTGTTACCATGGACACCATAGTTGCAGCATTCTGAGATCACGAGTTAAAAGGAACCTAACAGCTCAGAAACTTCTTGAGATCTGCGGGGATCCTGCGGGCTGTTTATTGGATCAAAATGTAAAAACATGCATTAATGTGAAAGCATGAACACCAACTTCTCTACGTTCACTTCTAAAATATACCAAAAGAAACCTGTCGCTTCCAGTGCAACTTTAAATAGCAGGAAAATTACAGTCTTTTCTGTAGTATGTATACAGACATATGGTTGGCACAGTGGTATGCTTAGCACTGCTGCCTCAAAGCTCTCTTTTGGTCAGAGGCACCTTGTGTGTAGAGTTTATCTGTTCTCCCTTCCAACACATGGCCGCAGGAGTTTTCTTCCACAGTCCACAGACATGGATATCCCTAGATGCACATGTGATTGTGTATATGTGCGCCCTGTGATGGACTAGAATCTCATCCCTGGTGATCCTGCCTTGTACCCACTGGTTTCCCTGTTAGGCTCTTGCACAACCCTGCATTAGACTAAGCTGGCTAAATGTACTGATATTTTTTAACAAACATGAAGGTCACAGGCTAGTACTGTGCAGCCATTCTTGGAAACAAGGCAAACTGCACATCTGTGACACATTTTTTGCATCCAAATGCCATCTTGTAGGACTCTATCCATTATTCTTCTAGAGCCTGGACAAGCATGCTTGTTCACGGATCTCTGAGCCCTACATTCCAATGTTATTTCAGCTCACTCCAAAATATTAAATGGTTCTGGCATCAAGTCTGGCACTAGTGGCCATCCAATGTGACCCAAAAAAGCTGTTTTTTGACAAGCAGAAGGAGGATGGTACAGTCCTGATGGAATGTAGACACATCCGGATGAGCCCATAGAAAAATAATAGAAAATGTGATCCAGGAGGTTGGGCAATTTAGCATCGTGCAGTAAGACTGTCAGCATTGACTACACGTAGAATTGGAGACTAGAGACATGACAATCCTGCCCAAAGCATTACACTGTAAAACATTCACTTCATGATCCATACACAAGCTAACCTTACTGACCAAGTTCTTTAGTGTTTACGCAATAAAGCCACTCAAGAGTGTCATGGTTAATCATGAACAAATCCATTAATCAATATTTTACTTCCTCTACTACCTCTCATTTGCTGACTTATTACTTAATTCTAGAGAGAAAAAAAGACATTTGTAAGTCATGTAAGGAACAAGCAAATGTTAATACCATGCTAAAAAAAAAAGTGTCATTATTTTGTGTTAATTATTGTTGGAATCTAACTGTTCCTATGACATACAGCACATGCTTTCTCCACTCTTTTTTCACTTGCAGGATTTACTGAAATGCTAGGATGAATCAGTGTGTTAAATAAAATTTTAAACGTTTATGGATAAATAACTAAATTTAAATAGACATGTTAAAGTAGTCTACATGAATAAATAAAGAACAATGGGTTTTTTTTATAAAGTCTGCCAACATTTCCAAGACTATATTAGGCTGGTTTGGACTTGACACTGAGCCCCCCTTCATTCATACCATGATCTATGAGAATTTATTTTATATTTAAGGCTTAAAATTTAGACCTTTCTGCTTAAAGTTTCCCCTGATGTGCCACCCAAGCCCTTCCTTCGCATTACACGAATACAAAACGTTTTATACAATCTTTATCAAGCTACGAGTTTGCTCTAACAATCTAGTAGAGTGTCAAACAACCCCAGCTCCCTCTCCAATATGGCACTTTGTTAGGCATATCATAAAGACAACAGATGAGACAAGGCCATTCTGCCCACCAAACGCATCTGGTTCTATTCCTCTATAGTCCCATTCCAAGTAGTAGAAAATAAATCCCCAACCAAGTCAGGAAGCTGAAGCATCTGGCAAAAATATTGCAAACTAAGGGTGAGCATGAAAACTCCACACAGAGAGGCCTCCCTGCTTGGAAATGAACCCAGAACCCTGTGACAACCGTGAAGACCAACATGTAATCATTCTTTCTGTGTTGATTTAGAAGCCTCAAGCATGCTTGAAACAGGTTTTCTGGGCATATATACTGCTTTGTTTATACTTATATACTATTTTGAAACTACACCTAGCTAATCCTTTCTGAAGCTCCTAATCTCCAAAAAAAAAGTTTTTGCAGATTTTTTTATAGTAGCATTGTTAGTTTATTTAAACCGCAAATCAACAGTAAAATGTGGTTCAAGTTACAATTTAATTTGACAATGTAACTACTGTTTATTTTGGCCTTGTTTTATCTCAGTCCTTTGTAATCTAGATATGGACTTTGCACAGACTCTTCTCTTTTATAACTCCTCCCCCCCCAAAGCATTTTTTAAGTTTTGATTTTTTTGGTTAGAATTCCTTTCTCTACAACAACTTTATTTCTACATAGCTAACTAGAAGTCTGTAACCAGGTGAATTTATTTCATCTAAAAATAAACTGAATGTGAAGGGATTTACTGGCTTGTCTCTCATTATAGTTAGGGTGACACAGTCTTTGTCACAGTCTGCTGTGCTCATTCATAATCCTCACGTTAGGCCCTGTTGCTCTTCTCAGATAGACAAGACATGAGCCCTCAAACTAAAAGGAATAGAAACTCTCGTTTGATACCCATATCCACAGAATAAAGCTAATAAACTGTATATCTAAGTCCTCTACCACATTACAACTATAGAAAAGTCACCGTGTTCTTAATCAGATATTATTCTGTATTAATTTGTTACAGGTCACACAATGAAAAAGTAAACCCTTTGATTAAAAGAATAACTTATTAAATTACTCAACTTTGTGAGGGCACTTTTGAATTAATCATGTGTGTCTTTCAAATCCACAGACTGTGGATTAATTAAAAGTCTGGAACAGAAAGCTGGACTCAAGCCAGCATATGCGTACATACTGTAGTATATTTAATTACAAAGCACATAATATACCGTTTTTGTTGGAAGTCAGTAATTTATAACTTTATACAGAGGAATTCAAGAGTCTTAATATATAAAAGTGTAAGGACCTTTAATTTACTAAGGAATGTTCTAAGAATGAATCGTAATGTTTCAGTTAAGGGTATTGTCCCTGACAACAAAAAAGCTTTAGGTCCTTCACACTTCAATCACAATACATAATTCCTGAGTTAATAATTCATTATTTCAAGAAATATCAAGCAGCATAACTGTTCCAGCTCTGCTACTGGAACGCTGCAAGTCTCACATCTGAATGGAAATTCTGCAAAGTCCAGCTTTCTATTTTGATCTCAGGGAAAAAAAAATCTTGGATACTACAAGTTTAGGTCTGAGCCCCAGTTGGAATAACTAAGGAAAAAAGACTAACTAACATGTTTTACTTTTTCTTTCCACTGAAAAACAGCTTTCAGCCTGCTGTATGACATATCTTAGTCAATTGTGAAAAACTCAAGCACTTTTTTCTATAAAAGATACCAGACTAAAGCAGATTCTACAGTAATCATTGTTACTGCCTGATATACTGTCTAGTGCCTGATATATTGGCATGGAAGAGCACCCACCAAACATGGCTTGCAAAAGTATTCAGACCCTTTCCCTCCCATTTCGTGAAATTATAAAATTATGCATACACTTAATATTTTATCTTAATATTTCATTTAAAACCTGAATGCCAAAACTTCAGAGTAAATGTCAAGAAGAACAAATGAGAAAAAAATAACAGAAAAATGTAGATTGCCTAAGTATTCAAACCTGTGAATTAAATATTAGACGGAAGTAACTTTGACAGCAATTGTAGATGAAATTTGCTTGGTGCAATTTTTGCCTTTTTGTCTTGGTAGATTTGCTCAAGCTCTCAAGCTTGAAGATCGCTCCTAAATAAGAATCAAGTTAGGACTGCTCCCTTTAGTCTTGACAAGCTTCCCAATTCATTCTGATGTGCAGAGCTATAACACAATTCTGCTTCCACTAGCTTGACAGTAGGAATGGTGTTGACTGAGTGATATACTATGTTGGGTTTGCAACAGATGTAAAGATTTATATTTAGACCTCAAAAGCTCCAATTTTGTCTTGTCTGACCACAAAAACATTAGTCACGTTAGCGGTATCACTTTGGTGCTTTGTTCAAATGGATTTGAGATTATTTTTTTTGGTTCCATACAAACCCTCTAAATGCAAGATATTACGGACTCATGGACGTTTTCTTCCATCTCAGCCATTGAACTCTGTAACTCTTTCAGTGTCACTGCTGGCAACACTGTTATCGCCAAAAGTGTACTAAACTGTTTAGTTCCACAGAAAACAGAAGAGTTTTAAGAAAACAAGTTTTGGTTACCCTAATTAACTACAATTAATTTATATTTGCAACAGCAAAGGGTTTAGATACACATGTAATTATGACTTTTCTATTTTTATTTCACTCTGATTAACCATTTACTTTTTTTTGTTTTTTGCTTTCAAAGTGTGAAATAGGTTATGTATATAACACATTTAAATTGCTATTAGTGTCATGAGTTCAGGATTTAACAAAATGTGAAAAATAATTCAAACTACTTTGCAGAGCAATGTATGACATAATGACACTCTTCCTTGTATAGGCAAGTCGTCTATACTCCACTATTGAAAATTTGAGCATCCTTTTCAAGAAAAAGACTTCCTTAAAAGAGTATTTATCTTCCATCCAGCGAGACCTGCTTTGAATATCGATGGAACGATGTGTCACTAAGGTTTAAATCTGTAACCTGGCGACTAGAGTAACCCAACATGAGTTTGGCTTTCAAGAGCTCAACTGCAAATGGCCTTGCATGAAAACAAGGGCACTCAATATTTTTGTGAAAACAAAAGACACTTCTACCTTGAATCAGCAGCACAATAAATCTTGAAAGGACCAGTGTTAATTAAACTAGCGAAAAAAATCCAGGAAAAGGGTTAACAATCTTGACTTCAGGAAAAAAAAAGTTCAAAATCAAAAAGAAGGAAACTTGACAACTTACCTGAGCCTGATCCAGAATTAAAATCGTCATCATCTACAGGATAATCTCCTGACATGCCATCATCAAGGTACAAATCTTTATCATCTGCTGTTTTGACTTCTTGTGCTGAAGCCAATATCTGTAAGTAAAAGAAAAAAAACATCAATTGTGAATCATTTAAAACCGAAAACAACATAAGGAGGAATAAATGGATTTCAATTTCCATTTTGACTGTTTTGTAGCAACTACTATATTCCTTCTTTTTTAAGATGATCCCTACAATAATGGTTTTAATGCCGACGTAGTAGGTTGTGACAAGGCAGAAGTCATGCATCACACTTGATCATGTCTTTTACAGGTGCTAACGAAAATGGGGAGAACACTCTACATACACAATTTACCAGTTCAATTGCTAAAAATACAGTTGTTTGTCAGTCTTCCTAAGTCCCAAACTAACTAGCAAATTATTTAAGCAGATACAAAATAAAGGTTAAACTCTGTAGCTTCTACTCTACTGCCAGAGAAAGCACCTATAAATTAGATGGTTATGATGAAATTATTAAATGCCAATAGTTAATTAAGATATTAAGTTGAAATGTGTTATTTCTTAATACATTTCTTACAAATCCTAAACTCCAAAGTATGTAATATTCCATATATTAAATTATAAAAACATGTCAACACTGTATACGGTTCGTTATTATGTACAGAATTAATCAAGCAATGATGTATCTAAAGGAGAATGTACATGTATGGCAACACGCCCCACTATAAATCAGTGGAACACTTTTTTGATCTAACAGAACATGGGCAGAAACACCTGGCTTTATTCCACCCACAACAGTTCCCTTGGTAACTTGATAAAATGCAGAAACATTTGTCTTGTTATTGGGGTGTCCAAATGAAAAATGTAAAAGCCAGCTACTTAACAACGTTCTCCCCTGTGTTCTGTGGATTCTAGCCGAATGATTAAAGGTACATGGGAAAACACTGAAAAAAGTGTGTCAATAACTCATCACTCAGTAGACGTCTTTTGCCTACAGCTCCAGGCTCTCTGGAAGCTCAGTGGCATGGCTTTAGCTGGCCAAAATAGCATGGCAGCACCCATGGAAACAGCATTTGAAGCTGTTCAAGCTCATCCTAGCGGATGATGTTTTTAATACAGATTGTGCTTTTGAAATCTGTACAAATGTGCCTGTAATCAATCAGACAGATAGAGAGAGGGGGGTGGTGGTGTGGACAGTGTTAAAAACCTGCTTCAGTCAATGGGCTGTATTGATTCCTTTTCCAGTTCGTGTACTTAGCAGATAACATTGATGCTAAGAAGCCAGATTCAATTTTCCAGTCATTGCTTACAAATAAAAAGGGATCTTAGGGGGGGAAAAAAAGACAAGACACACTTTCTTTAAAGAAACTAGTGCAAGAAGAACAGAAGTCCAGGTACTGTATGTGGTCCACAAAGCTCTTAAGGGCATGATGATTAAAATGGCACAATTCTTCAGATAGCTGAAAGGAACAGTGACTTTCTAAATAAAGGCATTCTTGTTACAGTTCTTTGATCAAAGGAGGAATTTGTTCAAAACCACAGCAACTTGATTTTATCCTTTTCTATTGCTTTTTTCCTGTTTTTGTCGATTTTCCTAGCAACATCATTTCACTTTTAGCCGAAGAGTGTTTTTTTAGATATAAGATTCAAGACATCATCCTTATTGTATTGATAGATATAGATAAATAGAATCACATTCATATAAGTGTAGGTAATAAAAGTGTCCCTTCATGAAACATTATGTGAAAGCTCTTATAGTAAACTCATCCAAATGATAAAGTACTTATATACAGTCATACCTAGATTTACAAGCTTAACTCATACACTGAGAGCTTTCAGGAAGGTGAACATTCGTAAACAGAAAACACAACTCCCATAGGATCCCATGTTAAATTTTCTAACTTGTATAAGACCAACCTAGAGCATTAGCCAGCACTCTCCAATCATTAGAACAGGAAACCAGAATACCAAGCATTGGATTCACTTCAAAAGAACTCACTGGCACATTAACAAACCTAAACAACATATACTGTGCAAAGCACTAAATAAGCTGTGAAATCATATTAACCAATCAGGCCTTCCAACAACAAGTAAAACAACCCGCACCAGCATTAAATATTTAATTTATTATTTCATGCTTTCTTCACTTTCTCAGAACTACCTTGATTTTTATGGACCTAAGATGGGTATTTCTTGCAAAGGCAATTTACGCTTAAATAAAATGAAAAGAGCATACACACACTGCAACACAACAAGCACAAATCTAAACAGTAGACCAAAAAAGTCCTAAGACTCAAAGCTTCAGCATGTACGCCCTTGTGTACAATATGTTTGCCATCTATAACGGGGTTTTCTTCTTTGTAGCAAAAACAGGTATATATTTATTGGCTTTGTTTATGTGAAAACTAAAAACTAGAACATTGTGAAAGTGGCCCATAGACACAGTTTAGAAGCAGAGATACTGAAGATAATCACAGCAAAATAATAGTTTACACTGAAGATCGTGGAAAGGTAATGCAGCTAATACAAAGGAAATTCAGAATTAGTTTAGTCAATCAAATCAAAATCAAGTGAAAATGAGTATTTTAAATGGTTTTCTATTTGAGGAGGACCAATATAAATAAAACAAATTAGGTTTATGATAAGAGCTGCCTTCCTCTTATCAGGTAAATAAGATTATTTCCATGGTGCTGATTAATCAATACATGTCTTTAAGGCTGTTCTTCAATGTTATCCACATGACCTAATAAACATTTTTGAAGATGACATTAAAAGAATGAATTTAAGTACATTAAAACCTGATAATTTAAATTCACATCTTCATACTCTTTCAGATCCATAAGTAATTTGCTTCCATAAGGTTAAATCCTGCAGAAAACATTCCAGACATCTAGCTAATACATATAAATGTGTTTCCTGTTAAATATCTTTTATATAAAGTTATAATGTTATATATCTATACTTTATAAATACAATGTACTGTGACCTTGTCAAATACATCATAATATAGCATTTACGTTAACTGAAAACATTACATTGTCCTATACATAAGGCAAGATATCATGCACCTCTTTCTCATTAAACTTATGTGGAAAACCTTGCTTTCCTTATATTGTTAAGTTCAAAATTCACCTTTTGAAAGCTTCTTCAGCATTTCCTTTAAATTCTAACTCCTTAGATAATTCACTTTTCACAATTCACTTACATATTAAAGGATTGTTATATGTAATATGGTTATACCACACATTCCATTTGTTTGTTAACGGGTAGCCCAGCAAAACAGTACTAATGACCAAGGGCCTTATTTTCACAGAGCTCTGGCTGTCTTCTAAATTTAGATGCAACACAACATGTGCTGTTAGGCCACTTTAGTCAATTTAGTTGCACAAAACTGCAGCTCTACAATAGTGAGGCCAACAGGTACGAGAAGTTTACACACTGAAGGCTGAGCGAGCAAAACCACAGACAATGAATAAGTACAGGTAGGATGATCTGAAAAAAAAAATCATTTCACAGAAGCGACCAACAAAACCCAAGCAAGTAGCCACTTCTTTTTACAACAGAGTATTTTAATATTAAGTGAGCAACTGTCAACCAGTAAGAACGAAGGCAGTGAGATACAAATGGATTGTCTGCAATCATACTATAGACTGCAAACAGTAAGGTGGGTCAGAATAAGCAGGGAATGATCTGAAACACCCAATTCAAGGAGACAACCTTGCAATACAGTCATAAGAGTATTATTTCACTGCAGAGAAGGCTCTGAAAATGGAAAGCAGCTGCAATTGCCAGCAGCCATATAACTCTGCAATTCACAACTGGCAACCCACTGAAAAACTAAGGTTGCTGCTGGAAGAGGTGTTAGTGGGGCCAGCAGGGGATGTGTGCTGAGTGTTCTGGCGCAGTATGGCTGCCATCGCATCATCCAGGTGGATGCTGCACATTGGAGGTGGAGGGGAGTCCCCATTACCTGTCAAGCGCTTTGAGTGGAGTGTCCTGAAAAGCACTATATAAGTGTAAGCAATTATTAAATTATTATTATTAATTATTTCAGACTAAATCTGTGATTTGCATTTCCTTTGAAAATAAAGCCCCTGATTTTTAGTACTTTATGCTTGCTGTTGATTACATGAAGACGACTTTGTTATAGCCATTGAAGATGTGTGATGTCAACATCTCGCTTAAACAAAACACCACAAAAAAGACTGCACAGCACTTTACATGAAAAACTTTTCATGGTGTACAGTATATATTATGCATACTGTATAAGCAACGTACTATACATTTTTCATAACGCACATTGAGGAAACAGTGAAAAGAACTGTTCTTGTACCTTTTGTTTTACAACAGACACTTCAAGGAAAATGGATCTTTTTTGCTGAAGCCTCAAAACTGTGGTGTTACACAAAAGCAAGCATAACCTATCACTCCCTCCTGACAGGCCTTAAGCCAAAAACATATATGCATAATGGTTTTAAATTTTTATACAATAGAGGTGCTTCCCAGGCCCTGCCTGCCAATAAGTATTTGGCCCAGACTTAATTTATACAGAAAATTGCAATATTAGGGAAGAAGGAGGTGATTTGACTCATTGAAACCAATGAAAACTCCTACATAAGCACAAAGTGTTTCTTTGCACCATCTGACTGCCTTTTTCCATGTAGGCTGAAGCCATGAGCTGGTGCAAGGCGGACTGTAAATGGAGTCATTAGAGAATGTTATGAAGTAGGCTTTAACTGACCTACAGCAAAAATGAAAACAGTTTTGAGACCATTTAACATTACAAGGATACAAAAACCAGGAGCATGTCAAGGACAGCACATTTTAAACAGTGCCCTCTCAAATTAAAATGTGCCAAAACTACAGTGAAGCTTTTCAGTCAGCTACTGTAATTCTTGAAGGATGGGCTCTCCGGCTTTTCGTAGCACGACTGCATTAGTTCACATAGTGTTGCCGTTTTCCCAGCAATACTCTGCAAATCTTTCCTGTCCAGTGCTTTGTGGCGTATTTCAGATTCATGAAGCAGAATTGAAAAATGTTACAGGAACTGAATCTGCCTTAAAAGTTTAGTTAATAGACGGAGCTGTGAGGTG